AAAAAATCACACACTACATTGCACTAGCTTTGAATCAGTAATACTATGCAGGAAAAAAAACCCTCAAATCACTCTTATGAACCAAATGAAATTAAAAGACAAACGAAAGAGTTCAAACATACATCCTTAACTATAAATTTCCATATGTTTAAATTGGGGCTTTGTGATTGTTGTGTGTTTTCTGTATTTAAATGTATGTAATAAGTAAACCATTAAATAAAAATATTTATAAAGTAAGAACAAAACAATACTAGCCCTTTGCTGCCCCCTTCTGGGATATACAAGTTTCTCACAGAAAACAGTAATCAGGAATTCAGCAGCAAAATAAACTAGCTTACAGCCTCAAGCCACTTTAGCCTACACCTGAACTCAAAAAACTCTAACTTTTTCCAAAGTAATACACTAACACAGACTGGTTCTTCGCTATCTTGCCTGTCTTCTTTTTTCACCCTCCACCTCCCCAAAAAGTGTCAGCAAAAAGTCACTCTGCCCACCTAGTCTAAAACCCCTAGGCAGGTTCACATAACCCTTTTGTTTTAGGTTGTGGGGACAAGGAGTAGAGGTCTTAACAAGACCCCCTAATTCAAACTCTGGAAGATCAACAGTGGCAACTTAGATCTTCCTCTGTAATGTAGCCTTAGAGACTAATATATAATATCATGAGCTTTCGTGTGCACAACCCACTTCTGTGTTGTTACATTATTTTCAAGTAAGTTCCATTCAGTCATACAGCTATTGCAATAAAACACATTGTCATTGTCACCATGATATTTAACATGGATTTAATAAGCATCTTTTCACTTCCGTTTTTGGTCACACATGGCAACATTGTACTCTTTCAGCACTTGGTTTTAAAGTGTAAATACCTTTCAAAGGCTGAGCTAAGTCACAATTTTCAGGTCTGGCCTTCTGACTTTTTTTCTATTTTCATGTTTCACTTCATGCTGGAAATGCAACAGAGGTTTTAATGCTGGAAATGCAAAAGAGATATGAGATGTTCAAATTGGGCTTCCACTTCATCTTTGCTTCTCTCCCTCATTCACTGGGATCTGTGAAATATAAGAGCAGATTAGCCACCACATAGCAGGACTCCTCAAGTTGAAACTAGCCTAGTTCTTCAAACTGCATGTTTACAAGAAAGTCATAGAATCATAGGACTGGAAGGGACCTCGAGAGGTCATCGAGTCCAGCCCCCCGCCCTCAAGGCAGGACCAAGCTCCATCTACACCATCCCTGACCTGTTCTTAAATATCTCAAGAGAGGGAGATTCCACCACCTCCCTTGGCAATTTATTCCAATATTTGACCACCCTGACAGTTAGGAATTTTTTCCTAATGGCCAATCTAAACCTCCCTTGCTGCACTTTAAGCCCATTACTCCTTGTCCTGTCCTCAGAAACCAAGAGGAACAAATTTTCTCCTTCCTCCTTGTGACACCCTTTTAGATATTTGAAAACCGCTATCATGTCCCCCCTTAATCTTCTTTTTTCCAAACTAAACAAGCCCAGTTCATGAAGCCTGGCTTCATAGGTCATGTTCTCTAGACCTTTAATCATTCTTGTCGCTCTTCTCTGTACCCTTTCCAATTTCTCCACATCTTTCTTGAAATGTGGCGCCCAGAACTGGACACAGTACTCCAGCTGAGGCCTAACTAGTGCAGAGTAGAGCGGCAGAATGACTTCACGAGTTTTGCTTACAACACACCTGTTGATACAACCTAGAATCATATTTGCTTTTTTTGCAACAGCATCACACTGTTGACTCATATTCAACTTGTGGTCCACTATGACCCCTAGATCCCTTTCCGCCATGCTCCTTCCTAGACAGTCGCTTCCCATCTTGTATGTATGGAACGGATTGTTCCTTCCTAAGTGGAGCACTTTGCATTTCTCTTTATTAAACCTCATCCTGTTTACCTCTGACCATTTCTCTAACTTGCTAAGGTCATTTTGAATTATGTCCCTATCCTCCAAAGAAGTTGCAACCCCACCCAGTTTGGTATCATCTGCAAACTTAATAAGCGTACTCTCTATCCCAATATCTACATCATTGATGAAGATATTGAACAGTACGGGTCCCAAAACAGACCCTTGCGGAACTCCACTTGTTATCCCTTTCCAGCAGGATTTAGCACCGTTAACAACAACTCTCTGACTACGGTTAGGATTTAGGATTATTAGGAGCGGATTCTCCAGGCTCACATTGCAGCATTCAGGGCTCATATCATGAAGTGTTTGGTAGATAGATCAAAATGACTTCTACAGCACTGAGGATTAAATCAGTGAAGTAAACAAAGAAAATGCAGAAAGCCTTGAAAGATACCATTTCTGTTGTCTATCTCAAGACACTCAGAAAAGTGGCAAATTCTACCTGTTTTAGTGTTCATCATTTGAATTCTGATTTTATTCTCAATACTGCTTGTGAACTGACAAAGTTTGCACCTGTATACTTCAACCAAAATATTTCTATCAGGCTGGCAATTTGGTCTTCTAAGATCTCTGACAGAAACATAACATTCCAGTTGTATGATCTTCTCTGGTAAATGTAGGTTTATAGAAGAAATACATTTGTATTTATATTAACATTCTTTCATCTTCAGAGAGTGCCAGTCTGTAAGAGAAACATTAATAAAATAGTTAATAGTTGTTCTATGATCTGCAAACTAATATGTCAGCAATCCTCTGCAGCAGATAATGTTACTGAAAATTTGGGATAAATTAAGATATACATGCCTATTTCTGATATCTCCCAATACAAATCTTCAGTCTAGTAATGGCGATTAGTATACTGGTCAGGATTGTTATGCAACTGCACATTCTGCACTCTACTTTTATGGAAAAGAGAGGCCGAAAACAAGTAAGCAAGCCCAAATCAGGGATTTATTCAAAAAAGCTACTTCTAGCATGTGTTACATTGTCATTACAAGTGTCATGAAATAATCTACTGGTTTGCAGTTCGCAGATCAAATGCAACTTTTTTTTAATCTAGCTAGGGGTCTACTTACCTGTTTTCTGGTGCTGTGAATTCCTTTTACGCGGGGGATGGCGAGGAATGAGCTGACCGTACCTGCTACAATGAACATCACACCCAGGGAGGCAGCAGTCGCAGGGGCTAGTGCCAGAGGAAGACAATCAGTGGCGGGTCCCTCTTGCACCTGTCCCGCGAGACCAGCCGGAGGCAGCTCAAAGCTTCTCCTTGCTCCTTTTCGCTGCGGCTCCCCAGCGCCTTTGCGCCACCTCTGGCGATAACTGCGCGCTCCTCAGCCGTGGCCGCAGACACGTGCCGCTCACTGGCCGGGTCCCGCGCGTGAAAGAACAGAAGGACGGGTCCATTCCGTTCTGTAGGGGGGGGGTAACTGGGCTGCAGTTGCTGAGTTAGTCTCACCCTGGTTCCGGGCCTGCGCGGCTCTCACACCCAACCACTAGCTTTCTCACTTCCGGCCCGGAACCCAGAGGGCGGTGTTAGAGCGCGCGCTCACCGCGTAGCGCTGCTCCCAGTATTCCATCAGGCTGCCCCTCTGTAAGGGACCGCGCGCAAAGTGACGCATGCAAGAGCACCTAGGTCGGAAGGACTCGTTTGAAACTCAAAGCTTCAGACACCAGTGGCAGCTCAAAGTCCGCGAGTGCCTCCCCGTTTCACATCCCCTTGTCACGCAGCGCATTGAGGGCTTCCTGTGTGAGTTTAGCGCTCAGCCATCTAAACGCTCTTGTGCTTTAAGGTTCTTCATCTTTATAATCCAACACGTGGTTATTTAGTTGCCTATGAACGCTTTGAAGCAGGTATTGGAAAGAGCGATATTATTGTCCAGTATCCTGTACAGTGCCTAGCATAATTCTTTCATAACGCAATCATAGAAGCGCTGAACTGAAAGGGACTTCTATAAGTTATCTTGTGCAGCCCCCAGCACTAAGGCAGAACAAAGTTATAACTAGGCCATATTCACAGAACGTTAGAATTGGAAGGGACCTTGAGAGATTGTCTAGTCCAGCCCCTTGCCCTCAAGGGAGGACTAAGTAGTATCCACCTACAATGATAGATAATAATAGAACAGTACTAAGTATTGGCACCTGAGATGATCAGAATTTTTAAAATATAGTTTAATTTTCTGTGTTTATGTTGTTTCCTCATGCATTTTCTCCCATTTTGAAAATTGAAACACCTTGGCTATGTCTAGACTGGCATGATTTTCCGGAAATGCTTTTAACAGAAAAGTTTTCCATTAAAAGCATTTGCGGAAAAGAGCGTCTAGATTGGCATGGACGCTTTTCCGCAAAAGCACTTTTTGCGGAAAAGCGTTCGTGGCCAATCTAGATGCACTTTTGCGCAAAAAAGCCCTGATCACCATTTTCGCGATCGGGGCTTTTTTGCGCAAAACAACTCTCAGCTGTCTACACTGGCCCTTTTGCGCAAAAGTTTTACACAAAAGGGACTTTTGCCCAAATGGGAGCAGCATAGTATTTCTGCAAAAAGCACTGATTTCTTAGTAGGAAGTCAGTGCTTTTGCGGAAATTCAAGCAGCCAGTGTAGACAGCTGGCACGTTTTTCTGGAAAAGCGGCTGATTTTCCAGAAAAACTGGCCAGTCTAGACACAGCCCATTGGTTCATTTTTGTGCTAATGCAGCTGTGCTGCTGTAAAATCGTTCATGTAGCCATGGTCACTGACATAAATAAACCACTTTCAATAAGTCTTCTGTATTAACAGTGCTGTCTGCACTTCTCACTTCTGTTTGTGTTATTTATATTGCTCAGAGATATGGTTTTTTTTCCACACCTGTGACCCTCATAAGTTAAACTGACAAAAGCACCAGTATAGACACAGCCTCACTGTTGTCTTCTAACAGCAGGGAAAGGCTGCAAAGGCCCTGAATAGCTGGGTTGGAGATGCTCGTTGGTGCCCACTCTTGTTGGCATTAAAACAACTGTAAAATCTTCTTTACCTGGCACATTCTATATTACTTAAATTAACTCCACACACACATGAAATTTAATAATGATAGAAATGTAGCCGTGTTAGTCTGGTGTAGCTGAAACAAAAAACAGGACAATGTAGCACTTTAAAGACTAACAAGATGGTTTATTAAGTGATGACATTTCGTGGGCCAGACCCACTTCCTCAGATCAAATATTTGATCTACACATCCCGAGAGATTCCGAGCACGGGCATGTTCACCTCTCCCCACAAATACCCTGTCCCCTGCCCCACCATCTGCCTCTCACACGCTGGGTGCCCCCGCGTCACGCAGCTTCCAGGTCGCTTGACAGGCTGAAACACGCCACGCCGCTCCCCCAGTCCCTTGCTTTGTGCTTGCGTTTGCCTGGGAGATGCACTTTACAGATGCTCCCTTTAAAAAAAAAAAAAAATCCACCGGAAGTGACTTGCTCCCTCGCTGGAGGGTGAGGTTCACTTCCGGTGGTCGCCAAGTTGGTGCGTTTCCACGCTTCGACCCTTGACGGCTCATCGCGCATGCGCTGCGGCCCCGTCTCACTAGCGGCAGCGAAGGAGTTTGGAAGTTCAAAATGGCCGCCGCGGTGGAGTCTGTGCTGCGGGAGCCCGAGTAAGAGACAGGGCGGCCTGGGTGGGAGGGGGCCGCTCTGAGGCGCCAGTGTCGGGAGGTGTCTGTAACGGTCACTGAGACTCACGTTTGCGGGGTGGGGGGAGGGAGAGTCTCGAGGGCCCCGGCTGGGCCTTCGGCCTGAGATCCAGCGCGAGCTGGGGCCGTGGGGCTGCACGAGGCGTTCGTTTCCCCGGCCCCAGCGAGCGCGAGGCGGGCCACGAGGGGAGGGGCCGTGCGCGAGCTTGGCGTTGGGTGCGAGTCCCGGCCTCGTGCGCGTCCCTTCCCGCCTCGGCGCCCAGAGGCGGCTGCTGGAGTACCGGGGGGGAGGGGTCAGTCCCGATATTCGGGCTTTTTAAATATAGGAGTTTGCCCCTCCCCCTGCGCTATCTGGATCTTTCCCGCTTGCTGCCTGCTCTCCTTGGGCGGGGGTGTCGCTAGTCCTCATCCCGCCCCGGAGCTGCTGGTGCGCGACCTGCTCTCTAGCGGAACTGGGGCCTTGTCTTGTGTATGGTGCGGTGGGTATTAGACTCAGGGTGCAGAGCACGTTGTAAGAGAGCAGGGAGCTTTCGGACTCTTGTTCTTCATTAGAAACTTTTTTTAAGAGTTAAAAGTGGCTGTTTGAACAACTCCAGGTGGCTGGGACTGAGCGGCAGGCTGGGCCCACTGTTGGTCTCAACTATCCTAAGGTCACAGGCAGTCATGTAAACAAAGGAGGGAAAAAATCCGCCTCCCACAAACCACACAACTGCTTCCTTATGGATGTAGAGCTAGTGTACACTGGCAGCTTACATTAGGATAGGTGCCTGTCTCAATGGTGTGAAACATCTATAGCCTTAAAAGATGTGATGATGTTAGCCTGACTGTAGAAAATGGAGATGGACAGAATTCTTTAGCCTAAATCAGGGGTTGGCAATGATTTTTTTATGAGGGGGGAGGGCGCTCCAAGAATTTGGTAAGTGATGGTGGGCCACACTCTTCTATGATGATAACGAAGGAGCTTCAGGTCTGGGATGTAGGTTGGGTGCAGATGGGAGCTCAGGGTAGGGGACTTGGGTGCACGAGGGTGTTGAATTAAGGAGGGGGTTGTTACTTGTGGCAGGAGATTGGGGTACAGGAACTGGGAGGGGGTATTGGTTTAGGAAAGGATTCAAAGCAGTTGTCTACAGGGATCATGTGGTCTCTGCCCACCCGTGTGGGACCCTCCATGCACTGCCTACACCACAAGAGTGACCTAGGCAGTTCCCATTGGCTGGTTTCCAGCTAAAGGGAACTGAAATTTTGTTGGGGATGAGGGCAGCATGCGAAAGCCTCCCTTTCCCCCCCGGAGCTCACAGTGCTCCAAGAACCACCTGAGCCCCTGCACCCGGCCACTTTGCACAGCATGGGAGGATGCAAAAGGCAGAGAGCCTGGTCCAAAGCTCCTGCTGACTCGCGGGACGGCAGCAGGCCAGATAATCTCTCTCCTCCCCAGCAGCATTGGTTACGTACACTCCCTTTGCACGGTTGGGAGTTTATTCTCCTCTCTGTGTCTACCCTGCAGCTGGGAGGTGCAATTCCCAGTAGATGTAGGCCTGGTCTGTGCTAAAAGTTAGGTTGACCCAGCTATGTTGACTAAGGATGTGAAAAAATCAATACCTCTGAGTGTTGTAGTTAAGCAGACCTAGTCTCTAGTGTAGGCAGCATAAGTTCAGTGGAAGAATTCTTTTGTTGATGTAGCTGTCACGTATCAGGGATTTAGATAATCTTTTATGCTGATGGGGAGAACTCCTCCTGTTGGTGTAGGTGATGTCAAAACTTGGATGTAAAATCCTGTGCAATTGGTTAACGTGTTGTTTAACTGGTTACGGGGGGAGAGGGGGGCACTCCAGGCTGGCTGGGCTAGAGTGTCTTTTCCTTAGCCTGCACTGCCTACTATTTCTTAGTAGGGATGTTAACTATCGTTTATTTATGTAAATGTGTAACTTCTGGAAATTCTAGTGGGTACACATTTACAGGCAGGGAGGAGGCAGAAGCTGGTGCTTGGGGGGAAACCGGCTTTTAAGCCAGCTGTCAGTGATCACAACTCCTGCCTGCTCCCCTCCTCCCCCATAAAGAGGCAGCAGTGCTAGGGGCAGGCGGCTCTATGGGCTGTCCTCAGCCCCTGTGCTGCTGCCACTCTATCAGAGGCAGCAGCCTGGGAGGAGGTAGCAGTGGTTCTGAGAGAGCTGTCTTTAAGTCATTTCCCCCCCCAGCACCGGCTCCCGCCTGCCCTCCCCTGCGGCCTCTGTGGGAGGAGGCTTTGGGGGAGCTAGCTCCCCACAGGCACTGGCTCTCACCTTCCCCTCCTTGCTGCCTCTGATACAGAAGCATTAGGGGAGGGCGGCTGCGTGTATTTAATATAATTAACCAACAAGCCAAGGTTCATTGGTTAATCATGTTATTGACTACACGCTACCATCCCTATTTCTGAGCTCCATGAACATTTATTTTAAAAACATTATAATGATGCAGAAATGTTTTATTGTAATATGTAGTTAATAGCAAAGCATAATGTGGATTTACATAAGTCTGTGTGCAATATTAGCTACACTTTGACAGAATAGTAAAATTCCTAAAGTATTCTTTACGGGCATATATATTCCAGTTCAACTTATTTATGATTTTAAAACCTTTCAGCCCAATCTGTGATATTCTAACTTTGTGAAATTGCAGGAACACCTCTTCCAGCAGAACTACTTTGGAATTTTTTTGCCAGAATCTCCTAGAATTTAGTTTAAAAGAGTTTGCTTGATTGCCTTTCTCTCTTTGGTCTTGTGTCTACATTTTCCAACTCATATTGTAAAATAGAATAAGTCTTGTTTTAGATTTTTAAAATTAGATTGTTTTAGTCCCTGTTGATCTGTACAAAACTGTATATAGAAATTCCATAACACCATGCAAAACACAACACAAAAGCCCAAAATCTGATGACTGAGAACACCGCACACACCACTTCTATTACCTGAAATAACTTATCAAATATCTTCATGTTTTATTTGAATTATGGAGGCTGGTTGCTTGTTTTTGTCTCTGGTTGTTGCATTGCCCTGCCATGCACGAGAACTGAATTTTGTTGTCTTACTTCCTTATGTTTATCAGGGACTGAATGCACTGGAGAGGCAATAGGATCAGGCTGTGCTGAGGTGGTGTCATATTCTTCTGAAGCAGTCAGGATAGCACAACAAAGAGCAGGGCTGATGGGCCCCAGGATCCCATTCAGCTTTTTAAATCTGAGGAAAAGATGGAGAGCATAGGACAGCACAAGAGGGTTTTTGGAAGCAGGTATTCAGGCTGGAAGAATAGAGGATTGTTTGGATGATATGGGAGGGCTCATATTTTAATGTGGAAGATCAAGGTGAGAGTTCTCTCTTCTTGGTGTTGTTCTGCCTGACTTTTTAGTCTCTATCCTTTTACATTCTGTGACTCCTTTCACCAGTTATATTTTCTTCTCTCTCACTGGGGACCAAGAGTCAACATGCTTTGGAGATAGAATCTTCTTTCTTAAGAGTGTTGCTGTCTTAAGATTTCTTGCAGCATGTTCCACATCTCATTCCTGTCAGATTTTGGGAAGTACTTCAGTTTCTTACGACCTTGTGGAGAGTACTGTAACCTATCTTTAGAAATCTCAATTTGGTACCTCTGCATTTTGTCAAAAATGCAATGAAAGTGTTCTTTAATCCAACGTTTTCTGGGTTGTCACCCAAGACTGCCATAGCACGAAATATATGGCAAAATGGAGGTAAACTTACAGACCAGGAGACATACTTCTCTCCCAAAGAGTTCAATCACAAATTTAATAAACACGTTATTTTTTTAACAAATGTCTTCATCATGGAACATGTCGCCTGGAATGGTGGCTGAAACATGAAGGGGCATATGAATGTTTAGTATATCCAGCATGTAAATACCTTTCATTGATGACTGCAGAAAGAAGTGCCATGTCGATGTCTGTTCTCACTTTTAGGTGACATTGTAAACAAAGTCTCAGAGGGGTAGCCATATTAGTCTGTAACTTTAAATACAATGAGTAGTCCTGTGGCACCATAGAGCTGGGCTGTTCAACATGCGGCCTACGGGGGCCGCATGCGGCCTGCAACCCGTTTGCTTGTGGCCCATGGTATGGTTTAGGGTTATGTGGGGTTCAACATGAGGTCCGTGGGTGGGAGCCAAAACAAAAAAGTAGTCAATATAATGGTCTTCTGTTGATATGTGTTTTAGTAGTTAAATTCCTGGACTGTCATTGCTCATTAAAAGTGCTGTCATATGGGTGAAAATCGGGTAAATATTTAATTTTATTAATATCAGCAGAACTGAATTAAATGGGGTCTCTCTGTTGTGTAGTCTTGCCTTAATTTTTGTATTCATGCCTGTCAGTGTGAAAGAAGCTATTTGCATATATTTGCATATATATGCACCCACACTTAAGTTGCGGCCCTCTGCATATGCTGTGAGTGTCATTGTGGCCCCCAGGGCTTCCAATGTTGAGTAGCCCTGCCTTAGAGACTAACAAAAATATATATAGGTTGAACCTCTCTAGTCCAGAACACTCTGGTTGGGAAATATCTGTGGTTTGGAATAAGGATGTTAAGGATCGTGTAATTCATTAATGGAATAGTCAATGCATTTTTGTGTCGATAGGGCGGTGCTGCCACTTCGAAATACCGTGGCGGTGGACATCCAGCTAACTAAAAATCATTCCAGACTAGGGATGTTAAGGATTAGTCGACTATCCAATAAGCAAATGCTTATCGGATAATCAACAGGACAGTCAACTAGTCGTCCGTCCGTCCCCTTGCTGCTCAGATAGAGGCAGCAAGGGGGGGGAGAAAGGGAGGTATTCCCAGGCTCCACGGCGATGTTTCAAAGGGGTGGCACCGCATGGAGCCTGGGATCAGCAGTGCAGTGCTGCCCCTGTTTTCCTCCCCCACACCTCTGCTTCTGCATTTGCTTATTGAGTAGTGGAGTAGTGACTTGACTAGTCA